GACATTGCAACTTAGATCTTAGGCATGCTAGAGGACAAATGGGAATAGAGAAAAAGGTCTTTTTCTGTTTAAGCTTTTCCTGGCCAAAGTGTTTCTAGTAGGATTGAAAGTTGGCACTGAGATCCCGAGTTCGAGTACTCTGATTTTCTCCGATCGAATATTCGAGTATTCGAGCACTCTTCATCTCCTAAAAATTGCACACCAAGGGCCTTAAAATCACATGATACAACCCTGATTGAACCGAGTAGCAGTCATTTTTCTCGGGTATACCGGTCCGTGGGTCATTTGGGCTCTCTCTACTCGTGAACAAATGTTCACCACACAGTCTGCACCTCAATATCTGCCGACTGCTGCTCTGAAACTGCAGATTTCTGTGATAAATGCATGCACCATGTATGAACGAGTACTCTCATGTATTCCGAGTACGATTACTTTTGAAAAAAACGAGCGAGTACTCGAGTACTCGGTATAATTGTTTCACCACTAGTTTCTAGCTACCTTATTTAGCGTAGTGTTTGGGATGACTCAGTTGAAGACTAGTGGAAGCAAGCACAGGGCTTATAGTTTTTCTGTCCTTGCCATAATAGAGAGATGCCAGTTACAGAATTCAGACCTCAGTGGGAACTTGTTGTTATAGCTGTATACTGTTTTTAAAGTGGAAATCAGAATAGGCATAATGCCTACTTCCTCCCATAACAAAAACTACATGATGGATTTTGAGGGATATGAAAACTCTTAGAACAGGTCAAGAACAGTTTGTATCGACTGCAAATGACTGGACACAGGTAGATCCGCCTATGAACATCATCTTCACACGAGAAGCTGCTGGCGAAATGAGCAGAGAGTTCAGTTGGCGTCGCTTTCGCTCGACTCATTTTTTACCCTGCGTCGCTGTCGTCATCTCTCTCTCTCTCTCTCTCTCTCTCTCTCTCTCTCTCTCTCTCTCTCTCTCTCTCTCTCTCTCTCTCACTCTCTCTCTCTCTCTCTCTCTCTCTCCCTCTCTCTCTCTCTCTCTCTCTCTCTCTCTCTCTCTCTCTCTCTCTCTCTCTCTCTCTCTCTCTCTCTCTCTCTCTCTCTCTCTCTCTCTCTCTCTCTCTCTCTCTCTCTCTCTCTCTCTCTCTCTCTCTCTCTCTCTCTCTCTCTCTCTCTCTCTCTCTCTCTCTCTCTCTCTCTCTCTCTCTCTCTCTCTCTCTCTCTCTCTCTCTCTCTCGAGTCGTTGTTCAGCTCATTTCAGCCTTGCCTCGGCTTCCTTGATCACACTTCGCTGAACTTGATGTTGCCTTTGTTCAAGTAAGTTGGCTTTCACGCTGCGTGATTCTCCACGGTGGCAATTTCTCGTTTCCACCAGGGAGTCATAATAATGTTTTACGACTCCTGGTTCAACCTCCGCTCTGCAGAACTCCTCGAAACGAGGACTGAAGGCACAGCCAAATCGATTCCATTTTCTCTGATGGATACTCCTGCCAGCACTAAACGGCAGCGGCTAGCAAGTCCTGTCAACTTTCTTTAGCCACGAGACTCGCGTCGGACTGCAGACTTCTAAAGAATGGTCACCAGCATTCGAATCTGGGCTTTGCGCAGGTTGAACAAGAACTTGAATTCAGAATTATTTCATTGCGCCATGCGATCGGAGCAGCTCCTTGTTCACTGGCTCATTGTGTGGGCTCGCTGCTCCATTCCATCGCTCTCTATCACTCTCAAACTCAGTGCTAGTTTAGTTGAGAGGCCAAGCAGCACATTATCCCCACGGAGAAGTGGTATTTCAGCTTCGCTCGCCATGACTGTCATCACCTATATTGCCACAGCGCAACCAACGATTCCGCTCGGCTTGTTGTGAAAGGTTGCTTTCCTTGCATCGTGCCTCTTTCATGGCATGCCAGGGAAGGCCGAGAAAGTGATCGCGTCTCATTTCACGGCAGTTTGCGCGCAAACCAGTCCCTCATCCATCACGAAGGTTCTGTTTAACGGAGGAAGTAATAACAACGGGCCCACTGTCAGAACTTGAACTTGAAGTGGCCTCGTATCTGCCACCTCTGTGCCACCATAATCTGACCCAAAAAATCTAGCAACTTGGAGGCAACTGGCTAACAGAGAGGAATGACTCGGTTCCACCAGCTCTGGCTTAAGGGAAAACTTCCACATACCAAGCTTCCTTCCACACCTTAATGTCGAGTGAACAATTCACATGGATGATCATTTTGGGTCTACACTATTTTGCTGTAAAACGTTTCCGAAAGGGAAGACTTTGTTCGAACTTCACGCTGGACCAAACTGCTAAAAACTCTGAAAGATTCTTGACCTTTTCATAGTCGGCATCATTTATTTCATTGATAGCAAAGTCGAGCTCTTCAGTCAGATTGCTTTTGTTCGTTAAATCGAAAAATTGCCTTCCATTTCCCTGCCTCTCTATCTCATTCAGGGCAATTTAACTGCAGTGCAACCAGCTCAACGTTGGTTTTATCCAAAGACACAATACACCTGGCTACATACAGAAATGCGATCGACATCTGTGATAGAATTGGTGGGCACCTGCCCGCTAAGAACGAGTATGCCTGTGTCCTGGATTTTCTCGCCATGAACCAGCAGACCGAGCGTGCTTGGTTGCGTGATGTTCACCCATCACGAGACATGGCGTACACTGTCCAGACGGCGAAGCCAGGTAGCGTGCGCCCAAGTCCACTCGACTCAAGGGCGCGTGTTGTTTGTGCACAATCAGGTAAGAAGTTTCTTACGATCCTAGCTCAACTTGTACGAGCTGTGACTGTCAGCTCAACCAGCTGTTGATGTATTTCTCTGATGGACATGCGATGAGCTCCCAAATGTATGTTCTGAATGCATTTCCCCACATGCTCGTGATGATGATCAGATGATGATGATGATGATGATGACATGCATGCAATACGAAATGGGATTTTCCCCACATGCACACAATGGGGAATAGGATAATCCCGCATTACCACAACGAGGAACCGGATTTTCCCATATTCCCACAACGAGTCACTGGATTTTCGCAGATGCAGGCACGGGATGTGCGCATTACCACTAAGCTGTAGTGGAGTCACCACATCAGCACCCAGTCATTCAGCATTTTCCTTCGGATCTCATGCTCATGATTCTGGGTAACTACGGATACATGGGTTGGTGGGGGGGGGGGGACCAGGAACAGAATAAAATATCGAGCAGGAATATGTACGACACTTGTAACATTTGATAACCGCAACACATAAGACGAGCTGAATCGACATTTTGTGTACTTTATTCATGCAATGTAAAACGGCGGAGACGAGGTGCATTAAAACGATGGAAATCTGAAGAAATGGTGTAGAGAAAAAATAAGGATTCAAACAAGTTTTCGTACAACACTCATCAGGAATGGTCCTTGTACTAAAGGACACTGAAACAAAATTGAACTATTATAGAAAATCTAAGTAAAAGTGGGGAGGCTTCCTGCTGTTTCATAAACAGTTCAGAGTAGAGCGTACACGCTCTCTTCCATTGACACTGCAATAATTCAACTCATTTCACAATAATCATTCCAACGTCTTGGCAAATTGCCCTCATCAGGTTCACAATGGTGTGCAAGCTCCCAAACCAGCAGTGATAAAGGCCAACAAATCCCTTGTCAGTAGGAGGGTCTGAGAAGCAGCGCGAAAAAGAGTTCAGCCAATAGTGCTAACATCGACTATCAGTTGAGGGGACTACAGCTGAGGTAAAAAAACAAAACAAAAACACTTTATTCAGCGCCGAATGTCATGATAATCAGACAATAAGTGAGTGGCAATACAAATCACAGCAATGACCACCCAGCGTTAGTGTTTATCTTTGGAGCCAAATTTCTGATCTCCACAGCCTCCCTCAATTTCCTGCTAGCTCTGTCGCCTTCTCGAGCGAGGACTGATACTGCTGTGAAGGCGCTATCCCGCAGTCTCAATCTCCGGCGCGAATGCTTGTTTCTCATGTGGTCACCCCAAGGCTTGTCACGAGTCCTTCGACGTGCTTCTCCATTATGTTCCTTTAGATGGGTCTCTAGTGATCGTTCTGTCTCTCCAATGTAATACTCCGTTCGCCATTTGCAATCTATTCTGTATACTACTTCCTCCGCGTCATTAAAAATTGTCGCTTTGCACATCTCAATGTTTGTCACTTGGCTCGTCTTAGTCAGACTGTCGTAATCGCTGTTTTCTGTCTTCGAACATTGGTGCGACCCTTCCTGCGTAATGTCTACTTGTTACTGAAGCCGTGGTGGTCTCAAACTTTGTCGAAGCTCTCTTCCGCACCAAGCAAATTCATCGCGCTCCGCAGTTTGTGCCGTCCCACATCGCTCCTTGTGCATTTATCAAGACCGCAAGCTCGGGTATAAGAACCCTGGTATCTCTTCTGAATACGAAATGCTGAAGTTGACGATGGCAAGAAAAAAGTGATCTCAAATTCCAAAAATGCGCTACTTGTGGTGCATGTTGCTGCGATGGTAGCAGGCCTGAAAACACCAACAAAATCAGCGAAGCGCTTGCCAAGGAAAGAAGGTGCGGAACTGCTTACCCTATCCCGCTGGAAGGTCGCTACAGTGTACAGTAAATAGTGGATATAACGTGCCCCTTTGATTTTCGATAATTTATCACTATATCCGGTGCATCACTATAGCCGATTTGCATGTATGACTGACACATGGCACATGACTGTGCATGAAATGATGCGTACATGCTGGAAAATGCATGAAAAGCAGCCACGTGTACATGTGGCTGCTTACAGCATACAGGAAAGAATTTTCTCTCAATCACGTCTGCTGCCAGATGCATCCAGGCAACACTGGATCAGTTTTGGAAGAAATGAACTAAATTTGAAGAACAATTGTTTTGTGATCATCACTCTTGATCAGTATATACGATATTTTCCTGTGCATTTGATATGGTTTGCTTCCTGAAGCCCATCACAATAAGCGATATATCGGTATAGCCGATAATAGTGTGTATAGTGATATTTTAGCTGTATTTTTTGTGATTTGATTTTGATTTTGGCGAGCTCGATCATTATAGCCGGTATATCGTTACACCCGGTCACTTTATAAACGATACTCACTGTACTTGAAAAATGCTAGCTTGCCTTCATCGCCTGCCACCTGGAGGCATGGATCGCTTGAAAACTAAGTTTCTTGACCTGAATTTGAACGCCCGCCTTGTTCAACATGTTGAGTGCTAAATGGTCTGCCTCAAACTCTGATGAAGACGTCGACCTTAGCTGCAAGTGAACAAAAGACTAGTGCAACTAGGAGGTGGATGCAGATTTTGGAGCTCTGCGTATGCAAGCTTTTGTTAGTCTTTAAACGATACTCTCTACTCACGGAAGACACCCAGTGCAGTCCTTGAACTGGCGAGAGCCTTCTGAAGTTTTTTTTAGCCAGAATGGCCCACTCATCACGCTCTGCTACAACAAGCAGCTCAAAGGCGCCGCCATCCTGGTTACTCATCTCGCCGGACGATCTCAAACGAAACATCTGCGTCTTCACTGCACCACGCGGCACCAAGAACCTGGCTGTTGCGGAGGCCCTCGCCAACTGCGGCGCTAAAAACTTGGTCTCCGTCCAAATGGCCGCCAAACAACAATGCAAGGTAACATTTTAAACTCCGGATTCTGTGAAACATGTCTTCGCGGAGGGCATTACTCTCAATGGTGAAACCCTCCCCGTTAGTCCGCTTTTCTCCAACACAGCGGAAATTCAAATCCTTGATGTACCAATATGGGTTGACAATTTGGTGATCGACAATGCCCTGAACGGCCATGTAGTGGGCGAAATTCGACATGGCCAGGCCAAAACCAGTGCTGGCCGTGTCGTAGGGACCGGGGTCCGCCTCATTCCGCTTCAAAACGCCAGCAACAAATATTCCCTCCTTTGTCCGAGCTGATGCCAAGAACATTTTTCGAGTACGGTACGAGGACCAGCCACAGACCTGCCGAAAATGCTCACCGCCAGGCCACACAGCCAACATGTGCACTGTAGCGGAGGGTCGCAGTGGAACGTACGCAGACCGTGCCAGTACTACCGGTAGTACTGCAGCTACATATAGCACAGACCTGCCGTGTATGGACTCAGCTAACTGCGAGCCTGACGGCTCAACCCAAACACAGTTTTGAACCTGAAACATCACCAACTGGTAGTAAAAACGAAGAGTCTGCAGGTACATGCAGTACGAACCTGCCGCGTATGGACTCAGCTTCGAGCCTGGCGGTTAAACTGAACGACAGTTTTGAACATGAAAAAGCAGCACCAGAAATTTCAGAATCCCTGGCTGCCCTCCTGAACTTGTCCTTTGCAACCGAAGAAATTCCCCAAAACTGGAAAGATGCCACGATCTCCCCCATCCCCAAGTCAGGAGACCTCTCCCAGCCAACAAATTACCGGCCCATTTCTCTGCTCAGCATAACCTCAAAAATACAAGAAAAAATTGTTCACTCTCGCCTCTACAAACACATCGCACCGCACTTACCTTCTAACCAATCCGGATTCAGGGAGAAAGACGGCATGGAGCTGCAACTTGCTCGACTGGTGCATGAAATTTCGGAGGCCCATGACTCGGGAAAGCACGTTGTAGCCTGCTTTTTTGACCTGAGCAAAGCATTTGACCGAGCATGGTACAGGCCCGTCGCACCGACTTTGGAGGTGGGGCAGCCATGGAAGGGGGTCAGGGGGGTCCTCCCCGGGGAAATTTCAAAAATTGAAGCCGATTGCAAGCATTTCCGGGCATTTGGTGCCATTTCAGTGTACGGTAACTACAATGAAAGTGTTTTTGATTCTGCAACAAACAAGAAGGCGCTTCGATCGGGAACAAACATTACCCTCCCCCGGGGAAACAAATTCAAAAATTGAAGCCAATTGCAAGCATTTCCAGGCATTTGGTGCCATTTCAGTGCAACTGCAATGAAAGACTTTTTTCTTCAACAAACCACGATCGGGGACAAGGATTTGTCACGTTTGCGCTGCGCTGCGCTTTGTTGTAATGTGCTAAAAAAAACGGCCGAAAAAGTGGGGCAGCCTCAGCCGCCCCAGCTGCCCCGTCTGTGACGGCCTTGTGGCATCAGGGCCTGATGGCCAAACTCAAGCACTCTCGGCATACCGGACTGGGCGTAGGCAGCGAGTGTGAGTTGAGGGCACAACATCAGCCTTCCTCCCCATCCCGGCATGCCTCAGGGCTCAGTCCTGGGACCACTGCTGTTTCTGGTGTACACCATCGACCTGCCTGCCGCTTGCGAAAACGCCAGCATCAGGTGCAGCCAGTTTGCTGAGGACACAGCCCTGGTCTGCTCCAGCAGCTCTGCCGCACACTGCGAACTGCAACTGCAGAGCAGCGTGTCAGCCGCCTCTGGATGATTGGAGCGCTGGCACCTCCTAATCAACACTGCAAAAACGGTAGTCCTCACCTTCTACAATGGAAATCGCCCCCCTCGCCATCTCCCTCACATAGAGTTCAACAATGCACATCTCAGAAATGTACTGCAACATCGCCACCTCGGCATCATCTTTCAGCACGACCTAAGATGGTCAGCCCACCTTCACTTTGTGCTGAAGAACCCCGCTGTAAAATCTTTTAATATTCTCTTTAGGCTCAAATCAACTCTACACCCTTAATCGCTCTCCCTCATTTACAAAACATATATCCTGCCTATAATTGAATATGCATGCATTGCTGTCACCCCGTTTTCAGTCACGGCCCTTGACCGTCTTGAACGAATCCAGCGCAAGGTGGCCAGAATTTGCCTCCGTCTCCCTCTCTACACTCCTCTGAATCATTCAACACTGCTCCATCGGCTCAAATGGCAGACAATGTTCTCTCGCCGCAAAGTGAAGCTCACCCTTCTTGCACACTCCATAAAATACCAATATGCCCCACAACACATACGCATGCTCAACACCCCCGCTCAAGTTATGGCCCAGTATAGCCTTCCACACGCACGCACTTGGCACCTTCCACCCACCAGAACCGATCGCTGTAAAGACTCCCCACTGTACAAGTTCCTAGAATACTACAATGCCCTCCCTGATAGCATTCGTGACGTCTCCTCCCGACCTGCTTTCAAACAAGAAATCTGCTCACTGCTGATTAACTCAATCTGCTCCTGCAGCGCTCACCCTCTCCCATACTTGTAAAACTCAAAGTAATTTAAATCACTTTCCAATTGTATAACCCACAGCCCCACCCACAGCATATCACCTTCTCATAAACTTATCTCTTATTGGCGATGGTGCCATTGTGAGAATAAAGAATTCAAAAAGTGAAGCAAAGCGGGAGGCCACAAACTAAAGCTTGGTCCGTCCACAATGCTCTGCCTCAATTTCTAGCAGATTTCTTTGCCCTTCGAGTGGACAAAATAAATTCGAAAATCGCTCTGGGAAGCGACAATTTTAATGACGAGGAGGAAGTACATACTTTTTCATTCAAACCTTCTCCCCACCGGATTGACATGTAAGACATGGCTCAAGCGGGCAGCCTCGTCTCCTACGCTGCGTAGTATTCGGCTCCTTGACACACGGGGGTGGAGACTGTGCTGAACGACGTAATTGATTCCGGAAACTGCCCAAGTGCTCATAAAATACTCTTACCGGCAGTTTGTACTTGCGAATGGCACTGTTTACCCTATGGTGTACTTGATCCGACTTAAACTGGGTAGTTTAAGGAATGTACAGCAAGGGTTTCCTCTGCCTTGACGTCTAGGCTTCCTTGCCGCTTCTCTTGCCTCTGATATGACGTTTTCTGGATAATGGTTCAGGAGTAGTTGTTGGTGTATCTTATGTTCACTTTCAGCCCGCATCTGAGCATCGGATGAGAGTCGCTGTGCCCTCACGAATTGCGACTGTGCGACGGCCAACTTGACATGAGTAGGGACTGAAGATGCGTAGTCAACTAACAGACCACTGCTGCACGGCTTCTGAAATAGTCTATATGACAATTCGCCTGACTGTTGAACAGCGATGGTGACATCCAGAGAAAATCTAAGTTAGAGAAATAACACTAAGAACAACAGCAGTGAAATTTACAAGTGTGAATTTTCACAATCAAAGCAAGAGCAGTCACGCTGTTCATGCCGTTAATGTTCTAGATGAAATGTACTGCTGTTATGTGTTATCAGTTATCACTTTGTCCTTCCTTCTTTCTTTCTTTCTCTTGTTTGTTCATTTTTCCGTTTGCAAGTTTATTGTTAGCACACGCATTCGCTTTTGCTCTCGCTTTGATTGCTAAAATTCACACTTGTAAATTTCACTGCTGTTGTTCTTAGTGTTATTTCTCTAACTTAGATTTTCTATAATAGTTCAATTTTGTTTCAGTGTCCTTTAGTACAACGACGATTCCTGATGAGTGTTGTACGAAAACTTGTTTGCATCCATATTTTTTCTCTACACCATTTCTTCATATTTTCATTGTTTTATTGCACATCATCTCCACCGTTTCACATTGCATGAAAAAAGTACACAAATGTCGATTCAGCTCGTCTTATTGATTGCGGTTATCAAATTATTGTCTCCTCACATTGTTTTCTAATGTAATATAGGCGTTAGCACTGTGGTTGTATTTATCTATTTTCTGCACTTGTGAAATGCAGTTGCATCGAATTATTGCCCCTGGGTTGAGGTTTTCAACGGAACTGTTCGCTATAAAAGCAGCCGTGCGCTTGGTGATCAAGCCCAGCTCGTGTGCCACCAGGGCTACATTCCGGACGGCAACGGCAGCAGCTTGTTTACGTGTGTCCGTGAGACGGACCACCGCGGACGCTGGAGTTCTTTTCCCAACTGCATACGTAAGGAGGGGCACCGGAAGGTATTTCTGTGTGGTACGGTCCGCCGTCTGAACTACAATTTACTCGTGGGGGAGGGGGGCCGAGCCGAAAATTTTTGAAATTTAGAGCCCAAATCAGTGCATTTGATTGATTCACGGGGTACTTGGGGCAAATAGTGGTACGGTCAATACGGTAGTGACCCGTACCGTGTGTGACGCCCCTGGTAGTGTTATTA